ACAATACATACATGCATAGACGCACACACATACACACACCCCTCCCACACACATATTCACACATACATACATACATATACACATACATACACAAACACATACATATACATATATACATATAACAGAGTGTGTGTATACATATTTAAATGTCGACTCTATTCTGAACCCCTTGCTAGTTTGTATCCCCAGCTTCATACAAGACACAACACATTTTCTAAAAAAACTCAACGACATCCCTCCTCTACCCATCCATGCATTGTTAGTCACTTTAGATGTATGCTCATTGTATACCAATATCCCACACGATGAAGGCATTGCGGCATGTGAAAAATTCATTTCCACCCATGATCCGGCCCAATCATCCCCAGACATATCCAAACTTAAAAAATTTATCCTCACCCACAATAACTTTGTTTTCCATGACAAACACTACCAACAAATAAGTGGCACAGCCATGGGCACCAAGATGGCTACGCAAACATTTTCATGGCCGAGCTGGAGGATAGACTCTTAGCGAATTCCAATCCTAAGCCATCATATTACTGTCGATATATAGACGACATATTTTTAATTTGGGAACATGGGATTGATAAACTCAACGAATTTGAACGCTTTGCCAACAACTTCCATCCCCGTATCAAGTTTACTATCAACTCTTAGAGTAGTAACATCTCCTTCCTGGACGTATCTGTCCACTTAAAAAACGGGATTATATCTACATCTGTTCATCATAAACCCACGTATAACTATCGCTATTTGGATTTCAATAGCTCTCATCACATCTCGCTCAAGAAGTCTCTTATATACAGTCAATTTCTCCGCATTAAACGCATCTTCTCTACCCCCTCTGAATACCAGTCAGAACTTGCCTGACTCACTTCTAAATTCCTAGCCAGCAACTACCCTATATCTCTCATCAAGTCTGCCATTTCTAAAACATCCACTAAGTCTCGTACAGACCTTCTGACGTATACCCCTAAATCTAATAATGATAGAATACCTGATATTCGACTACAGTCCCAACCTAAAACCTATTAGCTAACACACTCAGGAAAGACTTCCTCTCCCTCAAGCAAGACCCCACCATCGAACCCTTATTCTGCAACCCCCCTCCCCAATCTGAAATCGCTCATCACCTCCTCTAAGCTCCCCACACCGACTCGTGATCATAGTAACACCATAGAGAAAATAGAACAGTTCTATTTTCTCTATGGTAACACTACATGTCAAAAAGATAGATGTCAACTGTGCAAATTCATCAACACAGATCACACATTCTCACCCCCTGGCACTACATACAGCATTCACCTCCCGCTGCCAACTGTGATACATCCAATATTGTATACTTAATATATTGTAATATTTGTTGCCACGGTAATTATGTAGGGGAAACCGGCACCAAATTCAGACTTAGGATCAACAATCACAAAAA